AATAACTCAAAAAACAACAGATGCTGGAGAAGATGTGGAGAAAAGGGAACACTTCTACACTGTTGGTGGGAGTGTAAACTAGTACAACTTTTGTGGAAAACAGAGTGGCAGTTTCTAAAAGATCTAACAATTGACCTTCCATACTCTACAGCAATCCCCCTTCTGAGAATATACCTGGAGGAACTCAAATCATTCTACAAAAAAGACACCTGCACAGGCATGTTTATTGCAGCACTACTCACGATAGCAAAAACATGGTACCAACTGTGTTGCCCAACAAAAGCAGACTGGATAAAAAAAATTTGGTACATATACACGATGGAGTATTACATAGCTATAAAGAAGGACAAACGTATGGACTTCGCAGCAATTTGGAAAATTTTAGAGCCTATCATACTCAGTGATCTATCACAGAAACAAAAAACTGAGTACATGTTCTCACTCATAAGTGGACCCTGAACATTTACCGTAATACTACATGAAAGGCATTGGCAGTAGTGGGTCACTGCCAGTGGTGGTGGTGGGGAGGGCTAAAGGGGGACATAACATAACATTAATAAGGGCACCTGGTCCCAAACTAGGTGAAGCGAGGACCAATGGGAGGCCCAAACTTTATCTGTATGATGACCACTTATGCACCTAACCCTGAATTGTACACCACATCTTTAAAATAAGAAAATAAAAAACTGTTGTATGATACCCGTGATATCACAATCATAAAGTCACTCCTATATTAATAGATATTTAAATTGTTCTCCTAAATGGCTTTGGTAAATTTACACTCTCTGCCATAGAATATGAGAGTGTCCATCTAGTGAGATCTCTGCCGACATTAAACATTATCAATTTTTTTAAAAGCCTGTAAGATGATACATGTTTTAATTTTTATATAAATTATTTCAGATTTATACTTTCATCAACAGTCAAGTTGAGTTCTTTTTTCATTATTTATTGGCCATTCATCTATCTTCTGCATAGAAATAAAATTCTATTAACTATTTCATTAATTTTGGCTCTAATCTTTATTACTTTCTCCCCTCTGCTTGCTTTAGATTTAAACTGTTCTTTGATAATTTTTTTTGGAAAAAAGTAAAACATTATTAATGCTTCTGTGTTAAATTACCATGTACTAAAAATATTAATTTTAATGTATTTTTAATTTTCTAGATTTTTATCTTTATAATTGACAGAGTGTTTTTAATGTTTTGATAAACATTTTTAAAGGTCACAGAAGAACAATAATTTTTCCGATTGATTATTAACACTGCCTTGCAGGGATTCAGCAGCACAGTCATGTTTACAGTTCCATATTACTGTGCAAAGCAAGGTCTGCCCGTATTTTGAAACACCCAGTTGTGGTATACTATTCCTTTGGTGGCCTACTTTAAGCCATGTATCCTGGTGTTCACACTCTTAAAATCCCTTCCTGGTGTGGAGGAGGGGGAGACATATAACATCAATAAGGGTACCTGATCCTAAACCAGGCAGTGAGAACCAATGGGAGGTCACCTGTATGATGACCACTTATGTACCTAATCCTGAAATGTACCCCACATCTTTAAAATAAAACAAAATTTAAAAATAAAATAAAATGCCCTTCCTACACTGACTCTTGCTTGGCCATGTAACTTGCTGTAGTCAATGAGGCACAGTATCTGATGTAAAGAGAGAATAAAAGCCATACGTTGAAGCCTAGGAGTCCTCTTGGAAACCATACTCTTGGAACCTAGCCACCATCCTGTGTCTGAAGCCCAATCTAACTATGAGGTAAAGCCATCTGAGAATTAACTACCCAGCTAACAGCTCCAGTTACACTCCCACCAACTTGTGTGTTTGTGTGGGACAACTTGGAAGTGCATCATATGGCCCTAAGGGCAACAACCACGGTTGGCGCTATGCAGAGTACAGACAAGCTGTTCCTGCCAAGCCAAAGTTGATTTGCAGGTATTGTAAATAAATATAAGACTATTGTTTTAGCTACTGATTTTAGTGTTTTCTTATGCAGCATCAGATAACTGTTGATAACATAATTTGCCTAGAGAATCAGTGTGGAGAATGAAAGAGGATGATCCCAAAGTTTTAGCCCCAGGCAAAGTTATTTGACCATGAACTAGTCTTGGCCACAGTTTAAAAATCAATGACCGGAGGAGACGGGGCAAGATGGCGACGGCATAGGTGAACTGGTGAGATTCTCTGAACCCTGCCTTTTGGAACTTTGGAGCTCTGGAACTCCGGGTCCACCCTGGCTGAGGCACACAGCGTCAGACCCCAAGCCAGAGGACCCAGACAAGCGGAGAAAAACAGACCTGCTTAAACTGCCTTGCCATTCTCCAGGCAGAGACTTCCATTGCCCCGCCCACCTAGCAACAAACTACCTCAGCTCCTATGCAACAGTGTGAAACAGGAGACAAAGCCCCACCCCTATGCTGCAACGAAAAACAAAAGGAGAGGCTGGAATCGGA